TTAGCATAATATACTCTATGTCCATCCATGTTGTCACAAATGACAAGATTTCACTCTTGTTTATGGCTAATATTCCATTCGTATATACCACCTCTTCACCCTTTCATCTATCAATAGACACAGGTTGATTCCATATGTTGGTTATTATAAGTAATTCTGCAAAAACCACAGGGATGCATGCATCTTTTCTAATTAGTGTTTTTGTTTTCTTTGGGTAAATACTCTGTAGTGGAATTACTGGGTCATATAATATTTCTATTTTTAATTTGTTGAGGAACCACCATACTGTTTTCCACTTGGGCTGCCATAATTTGGCTATTGTAAATAATGCTGCTATAAACATAGGGATGCATGTATCCCTTTGAATTAAATGTTTTTTTTATTCTTTGGGTAAATACCCAGTAGTGTAATTGATGGATCATAAAGTAGTTCTATTTTTAATTTTTTGAATAACCTCCACACTGTTTTCCACAGTGACTGCATCAGTTTGCATTCCCACCAACAATCTTTCATGTTGAAGAATACATTCTAAATCATGTACTATGAGACAAACAGTGCATGAGGGTTCCTTTTTTGGCACATCCTCACCAATACTTATTTCTTGTGTTTTTGGTTTTAGCCATTCTGATAGGTGTGATACCTCGTTGTAGTTTTTTGGTTTGCATTTCCCTGATGATGAGTGATGTTGAACATCTTTTCATGTGTCTGTTGTCCATCTGTATGTCTTCTTTGGAGAAATGTCTGTTCATGTCTTCTGCCCATTTTGTAATTGGATTATTTGTTTTTTGGGTATTGGGTTGTATAATTTCTTTATATATTTTGGATACTAACCCTTCATCAGGGTATGTCATTTGCAAGTAACTTCTCCCATTCCGTAGGTTGCCTTTTAATTTTGTTGATTGTTTCCTTTACTGTGTGGAAGCTTTCTATTTTTATGTGGTCACAATAGTTTATTTTTGCTTGAGTTTCCCTATCCTAAGGAGACATATCTTAAAAAATGTTGCTATGGTAAATGTCAGAGAAATTGCTGCCTGTGCTCCCTTCTTCTATATTCATTATTTATTTCTAATTTTACTCTACTGTGTCTTGTGACTATAGTATATGGAATTTCTACCTTTTATATTAAGAACATTTTGAATTCAAATACTAAATAATAGTTGTAAAGATTCATGTGCACTTTAAAAGAAAGTATTCCTTGTCCTAATCATTATCATTTGACAGTCTAGTCTACATTACTTGTATTATTCAGCACCATACTTTTTAAAAATTAGTTTTTTGTCTACATGACTTGTCATATTCTGATAGCCAAGTGTTGAAGTCTCCAATCACACTATATGGCAGACCCTTGATGTATGAGGAATTCCAAAGCATGTACTGTGAGACCATATGATTTTCATCCATAAATGCAGAGAAAGTAGAAGTGAAAATTTCAAGTTCCTCCTTTACACCCTTAATGAGGTTAACCATTAGTAAAGACTGACAAAATCAAGTTCTTATTAGTAGAGCCAACAAAAGGCTAAGGAAGAATGGAGGAGGGGGTTATTAATTTTGCCTAGTGAAGGCTTCACTGAGAAGGTGATATTTGATGTGGACTTAAAAGGTGAATATGCTTTACTATGTAGAGAGAAAGCAAAGAAATGTGAAAATATTGAGAAAACATGAAGTAGTCCAGTGTACTACTTTAGACTATGATAGTGGTGATTGGATATTCATGGGGGTTCAGAGTATGAAGGGTCTTTGTTGAACTTCATGATGGGGAAGCGTTGAACTCTGACTATAAGTACAGACATCCCCTCTATGAGGCAGCCCTCTGGATATCACTCAAGTACTCTGCTCACTTTCTGCCTCCGTGATTACCTCTGGAGTTCCCTGGACATTTGGCCCACTAGGGTTACCATTCTGGACACTCTTAGTAAATGTTCCTTCCTGCCTTCATATTCCATGATTAAATCTTACGGATTATTTCCCTTGATGATCACTTCATACAACATTACTGTAACATCCAGAGTGAGGAGCAAAACCTTAGAGTATTAGAGTATCTCAAAAATATTCAGGGATGGAGGAGGAGACAGAGGGAGAGCAAGAGATTGCATTGTAGAGGAGAGTCTGAGGCTGAGGAGCAAAGATAAAGGGGGAAAGAATTTTTGAGAAGGAGTATGTGACTGATGCTACTAAGAAAGCTGAGTCTTACACTGGAATCCCTTTGTTATTTCACTCTTGTAGCCTCATTCCCATGTGTGCCCTTAAGGTTCTTTTCTGGAAAAATTCTGCTGTAGTTTGCTCCTCCTGAACAACTCAAACAGGTGAGAATAAATTGAAATCCAATTCCCCTTTTTATTCAATTACTTTAGGTTACCTCTTATGAGGTTTTGACTCATCCAATTAGTCCCAGTGACTCCTACCAAGGTTTCTCCTACCTAATCTGATAGGCTCCCAAATCAAATCAGCTACTTTCTTTATATTACAAGCAGCCTTCTCTGCCATATCAAGGGGTTTGAACTTTATCTTGTAGACCAGCATTTGCAAGACTCTATTTAGAGAGACACTTAATGTTCCATGAGATGGTAATAGGTGTTATTTGAAACAAGGATTCTATTATCAGGTAAGCTTGGGAAATACTAAGTACTCCCTCTTGGATAGTCACAATGCCCATTAGTGTAGTGACGATTCTGAAAATAATTCAGTAAATACATCCATCTAACTTTGTTTAATCCAGCATCTCCCACAGTTATTTGACCACATAATAATTTTTTTCTTTGTAATATTTATTAACATCTGTGGAACATTAATGGTACCCCAAACGTAATTCAAGATATGCTGGTAGAAGCACTGTAGGAGCAAAAAGGGATTTTAAGCAGAGGTCTAACAAGTCAGACTTAGCATTAATAAGAGCACTCTGGCACCAGTGTGATAAATGGATTGGTGATAGAGGACTCTAGTAGAAGTAGTGGCAATTATCTAGAAATTGCTTTGACTAGGTTCTGACAGTGGAGAGGGAAGATGACACATTGGATTAATATCAAGGTGGTAATATTAACAGGATCTGGTGATAAAATGTGAGATTGGGAGGGTTAAGATGTTTCACCTGCTATTGGATGTGTTGATATTAAGGTGTTTGTTGAAAATTGGTAAGCTGGATATATTGGTTTTGAGGGAAATCACTTATGAGAGAAATCTGGGTTAGAAATAGATATTTCAGGGATCCCTGGGTGGCTCAGCGGTTTAGCGCCTGCCTTCGGCCCAGGGCATGATCCTGGAGTCCCGGCATCCAGTTCCATGTCGGACTTCCTGCGTGGAGCCTGCTTCTCCCTCTGCCTGTGTCTCTGCCTCTCTCTCTCTCTGTCTCTCATGAATAAATAGATAAAATCTTTTAAAAAAGAGAAATACTAACATTTGACAAAGCAGCAAAGACTATCCACTGGAAAAAAGACAGTCTCTTCAATAAATGGTGCTGGGAAAATTGGACATCCACATGCAGAAGAATGAAACTAGACCATTCTGTTACACCATACACAAAGATAAACTCAAAATGGATAAAAGATCTAAATGTGAGACAAGATTCCATCAAAATCCTAGAGGAGAACACAGGCCCTTTTGAACTAGGCCACAGCAACTTCTTGCAAGATACATCTATGAAGGCAAGGGAAACAAAAGCAAAAATGAATTATTGGGACTTCATCAAGATAAGAAACTTCTGCACAGCAAAAGAAACAGTCAACAAAACTAAAAGACAACCTACTGAATGGGAGAAGATATTTGCAAATGACATAGCAGATAAAGGGCTAGTATCCAAGATCTATAAAGAACTTATTAAACTCAACACTCAAGAAACAAACAATCTGGGGATCCCTGGGTGGCGCAGTGGTTTGGCGCCTGCCTTTGGCCTAGGGCGCGATCCTGGAGACCCGGGATCGAATCCCACATCGGGCTCCCGGTGCATGGAGCCTGCTTCTCCCTCTGCCTGTGTCTCTGCCTCTCTCTCTCTCTCTCTGTGACTATCATAAATAAATAAAAAAAAATTAAAGAAACAAACAATCCAATCATGAAATGGGCAAAAGACATGAACAGAAATCTCACAGAGGAAGACATAGACATGGCCAACAAGCACATGAGAAAATGCCATCACTTGCCATCAGGGGAATACAAATCCAAACCACAATGAGATACCACCTCACACCAGTGAGAATGGGGAACATTAACAAGACAGGAAACAACAAATGTTGGAGAGGATGTGGAGAAAGGGGAACCCTCTTGCACTGTTGGTGGGAATGTGAACTGGTACAGCCACTGTGGAAAACTGTGTGGAGGTTCCTCAAAGAGTTAAAAATAGATCTGCCCTATGACCCAGCAATTGCACTGCTGGGGATTTACCCCAAAGATACAGATGCAGTGAAATGCCGGGGCACCTGCACCCCGATGTTTCTAGCAGCAATGTCCACAATAGTCAAACTGTGGAAGGAGCCTCGGTGTCCATCGAAAGATGAATGGATAAGGAAGCTGTGGTCTATGTATACAATGGAATATTACTCAGCTATTAGAAACGACAAATACCCACTATTTGCTTCAACGTGGAGGGACCTAGAAGGTATTATGCTGAGTGAAATAAGTCAATCGGAAAAGGACAAACATTATATGGTCTCATTCATTTGGGAAACATAAAAATTAGTGAAAGGGAATAAAGGGAAAGGAGAGAAAATGATTGAAAATATCAGTGAGGGTGACAAAACATGAGAGACACCTAACTCTGGGAAATGAACAAGGGGTAGTGGAAGGGAAGGTGGGCGGGGGGTGGGGGTGACTTGGTGATGGGCACTGAGAGGGACACTTGACGGGATGAGCACTGGGTGTTATGCTATATGTTGGCAAATTGAACTCCAATAAAAATTTTTTTTAAAAAAGAGATAGATATTTCAGATTGAAACAGTATAAAGTGAAAGATAGGGTGGGACCCCACCAAAACTGAATATTTAAGAAGTATGAAATAAGAAAAGTAAAAAAGGTAATCTAATTTTCCCCTTTATTGAGATACAATGTATAACATTGTGTAAGTTTAAGGTGTACAACATGATGATTTGATATACATATATATTGCAAAGTGATTACAATAAGGTTAGTTAACATATCCATCACTTCACATAATTACAATTTTTGTAATAACATTTAATATCTACTTTCTTAGCAATTTTCGAGTGTATATTATTGTTAATTTAAATCATCATCCTGTACATTAGATCCCCAGAAATCATTCATCTCTAATTGGAAACTTGTACTCATCAGCAATGGCCAACATCTCCCCACTTCCCTTATTCCCTAGCCCCTGGCAATCACCATTCTATACACTGTTTTTATGAGATTGGCTTTTTTTCTTTTAGATTTCACATATAAGTGAGATCTTACAGTTTTTGTTTTTCTCTGTCTGACTTATTTCACTTGGCATGATGCTTTCAAGGTCCATCCATGTTGCAAATGGCAGGATTTCCTTCTTTTTAATGGTGAATAATATTCCATTATATTCCACATCTTATTTATTCATTCATCTGTCAATGAACACTTAGGCTATTTCCATGTCTTGGCTCTTGTGAGTAATGTTGCAAAGAATACGGGGTGCAGATATCCCTTTGAGATAATAATTTCACTTCCTATGGAAGTGCCCAGGTGTGGGATTGCTGGATCATATGGTAGTTCTATTTTTAATTTTTTGAGGAACCTCCATACTGTTTTTCATACTGGCTGCACCAATTTACATTTCCACCATTAGTGCATGAGGACTTGCTTTTCTCTACATCCTTGCCAACACTTATATTTTGTCTTTTTGATAGTAGTCATCCTAACAGGTATGAGGTAATATCTCATTGTGGTTTTGATTTGCACTTCCCTAATGATTAGTGATGTTAAGCATCTTTTTTATTTTTTTATTTTTGTTTTTAAATTTTTTTTTATTTATTTACGATAGTCATACAGAGAGAGAGAGAGAGGCAGAGACACAGGCAGAGGGAGAAGCAGGCTCCATGCACCGGGAGCCTGACGTGGGATTCGATCCCGGGTCTCCAGGATCGCGCCCTGGGCCAAAGGCAGGCGCCAAACTGCTGCGCCACCCAGGGATCCCTAAGCATCTTTTTTATGTATCTGTTGGCTATTTGGATGTCTTTAGAAAAATGTCTATTTAAGTCTGCTGCTCACTTTAAAATCAGATTTTTTTTTTGCTATTGAGTTGAATGAATTTTTAAATGATCTTTTAACTTTTGTTCCTTCACTACTTTTTTTTTGTATAGTTGACACATAATATTATGTTAGTTTCAGGTGTATACCTTTGCTGTGTTTTTTAAAAAATTTTATTTATTCATGAGAGACACACAGAGAGAAGCAGAGATATAGACAGAGGGAGAAGTAGGCTCCCTGCGGGAGCCCAATGTAGGACTTGATCCCAGGACCCCAGGATCACACCCTGAGCTGAGGGCAGACACTCAACCACTGAGCCACCCAGGCGTCCCTTTGCTGTGTTTTTAAGAGTGTCTTTTGTTGGTTGCCTTATGAAGGAAGAGACATCTGTGTTTTTATTTACTCTTTTAAAATTCTCAACTTTAGGAAAAACTTTTAAGCAGAACTTAGTAAGACTTTAAAATATAGTTATGAAGCGGATTTCCCATGGTAGACTCTTGTATGGTAGCAAATGCCTTGGGATTATGGTGTTAGAGGACCATCATGAGGACAAAGTGACCTCTGTGAAATGCCTCTGCCAACTGAAAAGTAATCCTGAATAAGTTCCCTTTGATTTATCTGAAAGGCACACTTGTTAGCTTAGTGGTGTGGAGATAAAGGAAGCCTTCATATTTGTAGACAGAAGATTGCCACACAAAAATCTGTATATGAATGTTTCTAGCAGTGTAGGCATAGTAGGCAAAAAGTGGAAACAATCCAAAAGTCCATCAACTGGTGAATGGATAAAAACTGTTGTGTATATGTGCAATGGAATATTATTCAGCCACAAAAAGAATGAAGTACTGATACATGCTACAACCTGGATAAGCCTTGAAAACATTATGCTAAGAGGAAGAAGCCAGTCCTAAAAAACCACATAGTCCATTACTCCATTTATATGAAATGTCCAGAAATGGCAAATCCATAGAGACGAAAAGTAGACTAATGTTTCCTAGTGGCTGGGAGAGATGAAGGAATGGGGAGTGACTGCTAATGTGTACTGACTTTCTTATTTGTGGTGCTGAACAATGTTCGAAAATTAGTGGTTGCACAGCTCTGTGAATGTATTAAATATCACTGAATTTTACACTTTAAACAAGTTAAACTTATAGTATGCAAAATATCCCAATTGAAAATACATTATGATAAAACAAGAACAACCTGAGTGGTAGCTACTCAAACTGGTTATCATTTGAGTCCTTCAGGACCCAGGGGGTTGGGCTTAGGGAAGAAAGCCAGTAGGGGGGGAGGCAGGAAACATGTCTGTCCCTAGCATGCCCATGGTTGGGCCAGAGGGGCCTCAGGATGCCCCCTTTTGCAGAATGACTGAGTAAAGCTCCTCAGGACAGCAACTACAAGGGCTTTGTGGCAAGGAAGGAATTCCTAATGTTCTCCCCTACCATACACAGCCTTCTTTTATCTCCTTTTCTCTCCCCTTTGGTTAGCAGCAAATGAGTCTCCTCTCCAAAGCACATGCTCTTGGGCATGCAAGCTTATTCGGTCACACGAAAAGCAGCTTTTGGGTCGCTGAGCAGCCATACTGGGTCTTATGCTGGTCAAACAGTTTGCACAGGGCATCCATATAGAGTGCATGATATTTGTCCACCTCTTCCCGGCTTGGTTTTTCAATTTTGGGCAGTGGCAGAGGCTCCCCAACTGGAGATGGAAAAAGAGAAGGGGCAAGTGTTAGAATCTTCTCTTCCTTTAACCACCTTCTTCCCAGAGCCAGATCCTTTCACTTGCCAAGTCAGGTCTCAGATTCTCCCTCTCTGCTACCCTTTTCTTTGGTGGGGGTGGGGAGGAGAGGGCTGAGGTTGAGATCAAGAAAGAGTTGAGGTAGGGCAGTCCCAGTGGCTCAGTGGATTAGTGCTGCCTTCAGCCCAGGGCGTGATCCTGGAGACCCGGAATTGAGTCTCATGTCGGGTTCCCTGCGTGGAGCCTGCTTCTCCTTCTGCCCGTGTCTCTGCCTCTCTGTCTATCTGTCTGTCTGTCTGTCTCTCATGAATAAATAAATTTTTAAAAATCTTTTAAAAAAAGAGCTGAGGTGGCCTTGGGGCTAAAAGCAGCACTCACCTACAGTGATGATAGGCAGTGAGTATGGCAGGAGCCCATTGGAGCCTTGGCAGAAGCCTCTTCCATAGAAGATACAAAAATAGAAACCAAAGATACTGCGGAAGCAGCTCTGGAACTTGTACATCCAGCTGTCCTTATGGAATAACACCTGTTCATATACCTCAGTTTCTCCAAAAGTGAAGGTGGGAACCAGATGTGCCCTGAAAGAAAACCTCAATTTATTTCTCAAACACAGGCTACAAATGAGAATCACCCAGGAAGAACCCTGGCCAGGCTCCTACCTATATAAAATCCCTGTGACATAAAGCATTTCTTCTTGCACTAAACAGGGCTCCTGTATTTATTGTCTTTTGTCTTGAAATTTTCAAGTCCAGTGAGAATGCTATCTCTGGGCAAGATCACAAGGGCAAGATATGGGGGGGGGGTAGGGAAGGAAGAGGGTTTTGGGCAGAGATCCCCAAAAACCTATATCATGTAAAGAAAAGCTTCCAGGAAGTGTCATGCAGAGAAATATCTGACCTGTTTCTACTAGTAGGAAGCATAGAGAAGATGATAATATTGCACAGATACATATATTATGATATGACTATCACCCACAGGGACTATGCATAAGGTATTCTATCCCTTGAGATTAGAGAAAAGTCATGTTGCTCTCAGGCCATTGAGAATCAGGCTCCTTAAGTCTTCCTGTGAGAGAAGAGTAAAGAGAACATGGTCTCTTACACAAATCTTTGTGAGTTGCTAGTAATCTCTCAGCACTCTGATATGTGTTACTTTACTGAATCCTTAGAGCAGAGACAGAGCAGGGCACAGTGTGTGTGTGTGTGGGGGGGGTATTTTCTTTATCTTACAGATCCAGAAGCCCAGGTTCTGAAGGGGAAAAAGTCATTCAGGCAGTCAGTGAGTGACAGGACCTGGACTAGAACCCAGGATTCCTTCCTCTCAGCTCAGAACTCTCTCCTATGTTATGCTCCAAACTGATGAACAGGCCCTTCAGGCAAGGGCCTTAGATGAACTACTTCCCTTTCCTTTGAATCTACAATAGGACAATTGTCTCTGTGTTCACTAGGCTGACCTCCTGACCTTACGGTGCACCCCACCGCTCCAGCCTTGGGCACCTGCTCTTTTCCTGCTATCTTTATGCCTGAATTAAAGTGGCTAATAATTATCTACCAGTTACTGTGTGACAGACACATGTAGATGTTTTCTGTAGATGACTTCATTTAAGCCCCACAATGACTGTATGAAGTAGGTACAATTATTTGTAACCACATTATGAAAATGAAAACACCAAGACTCAGAATAGTTAAGTAATCTGTCTCAGAGTGCACAGTAAGTTATGGAGCCAGTGTTTCAAATCAGGCCCCCTTACTTCAGATTCCACGCACATACTCACCATACTGTACTGCCTGTCCCTTTCATTTACCATTAACAAACAGATGTAGATATTAATATTAATAGAGATGATGTGGGCATCATCTGTATATTAAGGGAGTCCTAGACAAGCCCCCTGATAATGAATCTGGGTTTCTTGCTTGGATTCCTAAGAATTGGTCCAGTTTGGTTAGAAGAAGTGGATGACATAAACTTTTTTAAAATTCTAGGACCATCTCCCCTCTGCACTAGTAAGTTCCATGAAAGCAAGACTCATATCTGATTAATCTTGGCATCACCTAGTAGGTGATACTGCTCAGAGAAGGCCACCCACCCTAGCCCAGGGAGGAACACCTACCCATGCTGGAGGGCTGTGCGCACAAACCCTTTGCGCTTCTGGAGGATGAGGGTGGTAGTGTTGGGCACACTTTGCAGGGCCTCTCCCACTCCTCCCACTACGATGCCCACGAGGTTGCCAGTGCCGTGGCTTAGCAGGTAGTCGATAGCTGGCTGGCTCACAGAGCACACACCTAAAGAGAATCAAGGAGCAGAGACAGGAGCGAAATAAGGAGAGGAGAAAATAGCTAAGAGAGAACACCATCTGCTCTACTCCTCATTGGCTTGTTTGTACACCCTCTGTTCCCATGAGTCCCAGAAGGAGAATCAATGAGATGGGACAAAGGGTGTGGAAAAAAGAAGGTTGTAGGCGAACCCAACATGTTTCACTTTGAGGCAATATCTCCACTTCATCGGAGGCACTGAGTCAAAACTATAGTAGGAAGGTTTCCAGTGGTATAACTAGAAGGACTTTCTGAATATCAACTATAATCTTACTCTTTTCCTTTCCTCTATTGCCTTTAAATAGCAAAAGTTATTATTTACTGAGCATATACTCTGTGGTAGGCACCATATTGAATACTTTACTTGTATTATCACATTTAGCCATCAAACCACATCTGAGGTTGGACTATTATTGTCAGCATCACCTTGCTGATCAAGAAACTGAGACCAATAGCATGCAGAAGACCACACAGTAGCTGGCAGAGCCAGGATTCAAACCCAGACAGTTTAACTCCAGAATATATGCTTTAACTACTATGCTATGATGGGAGTGAGTGAGAGTTGGTTGAGAGGTAGGGGATGGGGCTTTAAAAGGTGCATCCCCTAGCAGAAAATGGGCCAGAAGCTCCAGTAAGTATGGTCAGAGTTACCTTTGGCCATGAGGTACTCCCTAACAAGGGGGATCTTGAAAAACCAGGACAGTGTGGCCAAGTGGGGAGTGATGCCTGGGAAGATCTTTGAGAAGCCTGTGGCTTCAGTGCAGAAGTTGCAGAAGGCTCCAAAGGTCAAGATGCCATGGGGGTGAACCCCCATGAGGTAGTTGTGCTTCGGTGACAGGTCTTTAGTCTTCAGGATCTGCAGCCATGGAGAGAAGTGCCAGAGGTGGTGAAATGAGATCATGTGAAGAAGCAAGGGTGAAGACACTTCAGTAATCAGGACAATCTCTAAAGCAGAGCTTTTCAACATAGGCCATGAGTGGGTTTCAAGGAGCCAAGATATTGGTTTCCTTAGCTCCTGGGAAACCAGGTAGGATCTGGGGCAGCTAGAACTGCTGGGTTTTTTGCCTATGGCTACAAGTAGTTTAGGTCATTTATCTCAGTGCATTTTATGCATGGTATCATTTTGTAAGAGTGCTATTATGTGAAAAGGTCGGCAAGCTCTGCTCTGAAAATTAGGGCAATGTTTGTTGTCTACTCCAAAGAATGCTCAGAGGATCAGCATAGCAGTACATTTCTAGAAGTCTTCCTAATATGCTCTCCTCTCAACCCCCTTCCAGTTTCTGCCTAACTAACTTCTGCTAAACTTGAAAACTCTGCCTAAGCATCACCATGTCTGTGAAGCTTTTTCTTACCCCTCATCTGAACTACTTGTATACCTTGTACCAAATCATAAATACATACTTGTCTATCCTTCTCATTAGATGTGAGCACCTTGATGGCAGATTGCATTCTGATCACTTCTCTGTACCTCTAACATGTGGTATAGAGTAGGTAGGCTTTCAATCAATGTTTGTTAAACTGAACTGTATTTGCATTTCCATGTGTATCATCTGCTAGGTCATGCCAAGGGTGTCTAAAGTATGCTAGCAGAGTAGCAAGTTACCAGCGGCGCTGTTGGGTCCTGAAGTATGTCTGGCCTGAGACTTCTCTGGTATGCTCATTTTCCTTATAGACAACCCTAGTTACTTAGCATAAATGCCCAGTATTTTGGGAACTGTGGGAGATGCTGGGGAAAAGACACTTACCGTAATGGGAAAATAGTTCTTGAGGTGGGTCCAGGCACACCAATTCCTTACCCAGGCTGAATGCCTTCCACCTGAGACGGAAATATCAGTGGGGGTGGTGTCTGTGTGTGCCAACCCCATCCCTCCTGCTTACTCAGGGCTTTCCTAACAGCATGGAGGGAGCATGGCTCTGCTAGAGAGGTAGAAAAGGAAATGGCCCCAAGACAGTCTTGGCTGGTCCAGGTCCTGTGTCTCTGAGAATTTGGATGAGGGACTTGTGGCATGGTGAGTGGGACTCTCTGGTTACAAGTTAAGCTGGAACATTCTTAGGCCTTGTTCTTTCTAGGTCCATAAGTCTTACCTTGCTCTGGGGTCTTCCAGTCCAGGAAAAACCAGATAAAGTAAAGCACTGGTAGTGGCCACAAGGATGTAAACAGCAAGTAAATGAGCAATGGCTGCAAGATCCAAACTGATGAGGGAGCAGGTCAGACCAAAATTGGGCTGCCAGCAAAACTTGCCCATATACGTCCCCATTAAGAGCTCTCCAAACTACTCAAGCCCCTGTTCCTGGCCTTCTGCACAGTCCAACTCTTGCCCATCCAGAATCCATGTCTACTTCTCCTTCAAACATTCCCTCTCTCATCTACCATACACCAGCCCTATTTCTCTAATTCCCTATCATCCCCATCTACTTGCTTCCCCACCCACTCACCATCCCTCTACTGCTCCCTGCTTACCACCAGCTTTTTCCCCCTTGCTCCCATTCATCCACCATCTTTTCCTTCTTGTCTCCCTTCTCCTTCACTGTCCACCATCCCCAAACCCTAGTTAAGCCACAAGCTCATCATCTTTCCTTGCCCATATACTAGCCACATCTCCTCACACCCTGCCACCTAAGCATCTGCATCCCTCTACTGTTTTCCATTCACCATTCCTTCCATTATTACTCTCTCCCCACATGCTATCACCCCACCCCATCCCAGAATGGTAAACTCTATGGTATAAACATAGACTATACTTCTCCAAGTCTGTAATTCTAATGCTTCTTCAGTCCCACTCTCCATGCTTCCTTATTCTGGTAGATATACAGGCCTATTCCCTAGGCCTCATTTCCCCCTTCCAGATAGTGAGGATTAAGAAGTGGCTAAAATTAGCCAGATCTACTCATAACCATCATGACCCTGTTCTACCCCTCTGTTTGTTCTCACTGTGTCCTGTGGTATCTCTTCTTTCTCCAGGGCAATCATGGAACTCAAGTCTTATTCTGTAGTATCATCTGAGATGATCAAAGATAGGACATGAGATTTCCCATGAGCATGAAATTCACCCCAGATCTGGCCCTGGCCTCTGACTCTGGTTTCTTGCTGTGCGCTCTTGGATCAGTACTCACACATGGCAAGGTAGCTCAAGGGCCATTGTAGAAGTATCAGACTCTGGAAGTGCGTAGGCTGCTTGAGACAAGGCATGATGCTCAGAAACCTGAGGAGACAAAGATCCCAGAACACTCTTCTAACCAGTGGTGGCACCAGCCTCTGGAAGCTCACTCGACAGTGAATGCATATGATCAGGAGGATTTTCACCTCTCTTTTCCTTCTTTGTCCTGCCCCACACCTATGACCCACTGCAGGAGGCAGGCTTTGGAGTACCAAGGACTGCCCCATCAGGTCTGAACCCTGGGCCCTGGCCATTTGCCCTTTGACTCTTTCCTGAGATTATTAAGACATCAGGATGAAGAAAGGTAAGGACTACCATCTAGTCCTAGTGACTCAGAGATCAAGAGAAGGGAAATACCTTTCATAGGCCACTCTGAGACTACAGGGGTTGTGATCTCAGTGAGGTGGCTGGTGGTCAGGGAGCTCTAGATAGTTTTTGGGGTGGGGATCACCTAGTATAGATTTTTGTTGAGAGACACTATTGTCCTGAAGTAACCTGGCTTGGGATGTCCCCTCTTTTAACTTGCTATTACAAAAATTTCCAGGGCAGCCTGGGTGGCTCAGCGGTTTAGAACCTGCCTTCGGCCCAGGTGATGATCCTGGAGACCTGGGATTGAGTCCCACATCCGGCTCCCTGCATGGAGCCTGCTTCCCCTTCTGCCTGTGTCTCTGCCTCTCTCTGTTTCTCATGAGTAAATAAATAAAATCTTTTAAAAAAATTCCAAATATACACAAAGCTAGAGAATGCAACAAATTTTTATCTTTTTCTTCATGTTTTTTGTTCATCTTCAATAACTATTAACATTTTGCCATACTTGTTTCATCTATTGCCCCAATTTTTTTTCTTGGAGCATCTTAAAGCAATTCTAAGGTACATCATTTCACTCTTACATACTTCATTGTGCATACAAAATTATGAATGTTTTCTTCCATAGTGATGCTATAATCATCCTTAACAAATTTTGTAATTCTTGAATAATAACTAATATCCAGTCCATATTCAAATGCCTTTTTACAGTTGGTTAATTTGAATCAGGATCCAAACATGATTTGTTGATTGTATTTGTTTTTTGTTTGTTTTTTTTTTTTGTTTTTTTTTAAAGATTTTATTTATTTATTAATGATAGTCACACAGAGAGAGACAGAGAGGCAGAGACACAGGCAGAGGGAGAAGCAGGCTCCATGCAGGGAGCCTGACGTGGGATTCAACCCCGGGTCTCCAGGATCGCGCCCCGGGCCAAAGGCAGGCGCCAAACCGCTGCGCCACCCAGGGATCCCTGTTGATTGTATTTGAATGCTATGGTTTCATAACTCTGTCTCTCTTTAATTTTTCATTGTAAAATAAAACTTAGATACAGAAAACCACCTAAAACAAATGTATGGCTTAATAAATTATTATAAGATAAATACCTTGCAGCCACCACTACATCAAGAAATAAAACTCCAGAAATCTCTCATGTGCTCCATTTCAATCACAACTGTCTCTTCTTCTTCTCAAAATAACCACTATCCTGACATTTAGAGTAATCTTTTCCTTGCATTTCTATGGTTTTATTACCCAAGCATACTTCCTTAGTCTTGCCTGTTAATTGACATGTTCCTTAAATTTTCTCTTTTTAAATTTTTTTATTTTGGAAAGTCTTAGATTTATGGAAGAGTTGCAAAGATAGTATGGAGAGTCCGCTATACTCTCCACACAGCTTCCTCTTATGTTAACATATTATGTAACCATGGTATAGATACCACAGCTTAAGAAACCAATACTGGTACATCACTGTTAATGCCAGAGTTTATTCAAATTGCACCAAATTTTTCTACTAATGTCCATTTTCTGTCCCAGGAGTCCATCAAGGTCTCGCATTGCATTTAGTAATCATGTCTCCTTAGTCTCCTTCAATCTGTGATAGTTTCTTGATCTTTCCTTTTATGGCCTTGGCGTTTTAGAAGAGCTTAAGTTTGTTTTCATTTATAGGTTCCCCCTCCATCCCTTTCTTTTCCTGACATTATTTATTTATCTCCACATTTGACCTGGAGAATTTTCCACAGCCTGGACTTTTTTTACTGCATGCTCATGGTATGCTTCAGTAGGATCCTCTGTATTTCATGAAATGAGACATCTGGATTCAAGGAATGGATCAGACTCAGGTTTGAGCCCTTTGGCAAGATCTAAATTTGCTTTTAATACAGAACAATCCTCCTTCCTTCCCTTTTATTTCCCATGTCATTGGCCTGTTGAAGACTGTTCACCCTTAGAGTAAGCTAGTCTTCCAGGCCTCAGCACCAGCTCCACTAAACAGGGGTGATGGTATGGAGCCTTGTTCCTAGGTGAGTTCCAAATACAGGCAAAATGGGAAGGAGGGGAAGCGAAGTCCTCATTCCTCTCTCTGACACCTGTTCTTGCCTTGTTGTAACTTCATGCCCAGTGAAGCAAATTGAGTTGCAGGTTTGTTTTTATTTTTGTTCATTTTTTTGCTGTTCACACCTAAGGATTGTATGCTTCTAAAGGGGTAGGGGCTACATCTAAGTTGTCAGTGCCTCAGTCCCTAAGGCCCTTAGTATTGAATGAATAATGATCAGTGAATGAATATCTTAGTTTGAGATCTTGATAATGATGGTTTATTATGGGTAATCACTGGAGTCCTATAGAATAGTGTAACCTTGGAGATTTAAGAGGGGGCCAAGAAGGTGTGCAGAAAAAGAAGACAAGAGACACATTACAAAAGAGAAGAGGAAGAATGAGAGAAAGGAAAGGCAGTTGCTGACCTTTGAATTGGTTTGGCAAAAGATGTGGAGGGCACCACTCCAGGTCTTCTTGCTGATTGGATACCAGCCTAGCCCTTGAGCAAATGCTAGCACTCGGGTATTGCAGCATCTCAACCTACATAGATGTTGACATCCTTGTGGTTGAGGGTGAGAATTAGCCTCTGGCAATATAAGGGAGTTTTAGCATTCTGTCTTTCCATAATAGAATTTTCTGAGCCAACATCAACTCCCTGTCCACATTCTCTCAGCCTTCTAAATTACCTTCTTCTGGGACTTCTCCTGGATTAACTTTTAATAATTTGTACATTTTCATTTTTCCCCTCTAGTTCCTCCCATGGCTTCTGAGAAAAAGGTGGTAAGTTGTTGAGAAGACATTCAGGCTACAGAACTGACCTATACATATATTCTTCCTTGTTGCAGCAGATCCTGTCCCTTGTTTTAGTATTTAAAATTTATGGACTTCAACATGATAATAGTTGTATTTTTTATATTCATTGATAGAGAAATATAGAATACACTCAAGCACTAAGAGTATACACAATGATGCAATAGGTCATTTGAAAAAAATCTGTGGAAACATGTTATTTATTCATTCTAGACAATGCTTGGGTCATGTGGGAATTTCTAGAACCCTTATAATAGTTAAGTTACTCCCCTCACTCCCCAGCAGTTTGGAAACTGGCTGTTCTCTTTTTCAAAATGATAATTAATTTATCATTTTTCCTGATTATAGAAATAATCCATGTAAATCACAAATATTTCAGACTATTCAGGAAAGCATAAAGGGAACAAAAGTCACTCATAATCTCATCACATAGAAATAACTAGTCAATGTTAACATCCTGGTATTTCTCTCTCTTGGCTTTTTTTCTGTACAAATATAGACATAGATATAGTGTCACTGTGAAGAGTTTAGGCTCCTGAGTCCAACATATCTAGGTCTATTTCTCAGCTCTGACACTCAAGTGAACTATGAATAATTACTTACCCTTTTCCTAACTAGTTTATCTGTAAAAATACAAGTATAATGCTTACTACCTACACCATAGGGTTATTGTGAGGAAAAAATAATGTAAAGCACTTTGCTCAGTGCCTTGCTCATATATATGCTTATATTTAAAGCTCAGTAAATGTTAGTTATTATGCATAATTTATTAACCAAAAAGTAATCGTATTTTATGCACTGTTTTGTAAACTGCTTCTTCACCCAGCAGTATATTGTGGACATTATTCATGTCAACTTTCTTCTCTAACAACATACATAACATTTCATTGTATGGATATGCCATGATTCATTCAACTAACCTCCTATTATAGAGGAAGCACAAATTTTTAGGCATGCCTTTTCCATTATCTGGTCAGACTTCTAGATCTTCTACTGGTAGGTGATCAGAAACCTTCATGTACCCACAGATTTTCCAGTAACACTGATCAGTTTCCTTTCTCCCAATAGTTTTTAGGATTTACTGGTACAGAAAGTGTGAGGCTTTCTCAAGCCTCTGTTAACCTGGGAGATGTTCAGGGACCAGGGAACCTGGTGAGCAGAATCAACCTCTCTCTCCAAGGAGATGACTGAGCCTCAAGAGGGGGTTTGATCCTTTTCTCCAAACAACTCAGGAAACAGGGTTTCAGACCCAGCAGGGTTGCTGCTTAGATTCACCTCAGCTCCACCTCAGGAAATGTTTGAATGGAAACCAAGTCCAGGGCTGTGATGGCATATGGAAAAATGGGACTTGTAAGCTGTGGATCACTTAAATCAGCCTGTATCCAGGAAAAATGGATAAGAAATCTGTTTTATCGATATTTGGTTTCTATGCTTTCATATTGTTTTCTTTTATTTTTGAAAAAAAATTAATCCAGTCTCACCTGAACTAAGGGTAGAGTGATTCCAATTTCCTAGACCAGAGACTTTCTTGGTATGTGGGTGATCCTGGCCACCCTGAATTATATAAAAGAAAATGGAATGATGACCAAAAGAAATTAGGAAACCTGGAAATGTGAGAACTGGTTGTTAGTAAACATACTGATTCTTTCTTGACTTTTTCTCTCTCTTTTTTAAACGTGACCCCACAGAATTAACATAAATACTTGGATAATGATACACTCTTATCATTGTTTTATGATGTCCCTCTTCTCTATCTGCCTATATTTATTGATTCATGTTTTTCCAGTAGGGATTTCCCTCTTGAGCACTGCATGCAAGAAGTACTGTCTTGTCCCTGGGTTACAACTCAGCAGCTAATTGTCTAATCTTGGCCTTCACTTCCTTTTCAGAGGCCTGAAGATATATTCTTAATGCCCAAGTTCTTCCTTCTTTTACCTTACCAGTCCTGGCCTGGTAAGGATTTATCAGAGCAACATCAAATCCTCAAGTGAGTTCTGTCACTATAGGATATTAATAGC